TGCACTCCCAATCTGTATGAGGTAAAGTGATTAGCTTATGGGTTAAATAAAGAATTGTTAAATAAAAGCCCAAGTCCTACCAAGTTACGAAAGCAGCTCTCTGGCCTACCTGATTATATTATAGAAACTGGGTTGGCACTTGCCTAGTCGTCAAATACCACAGGCGGCTTATCTTATCTAATGGAAGCCTGCCACCAGGAGATGCATGAGGTAGAGCACAGTTAATGGTTTAAAAAATCAGAGAGGGATGGTGAGGGCGTATGAGAAGAAGGGCCAAGGTAGCTTTTTACCGACTGGCAACGTCAGTGGCCACAAGAACGGACATCGGCACACGCTTGAATTTGCCCAGGGCGCCCAGACGTTGGGCCTGGGGCATATCACCATTGAGGGTAACTACGGGAACAGAGAGGAACTGGCGAAGCAGGAGACTGAGACGGTTGCTGGCATCACGAGTGCGCGTGAAGACAATAGCTGAGCCCGTTGCTTCAATCCTAAAGAAGGAAAGATCCTCGACTTAAATAGGGGTTTCCAGAGAAAGTAAAGCGCGCGCGTACTGTTATCCGGTAAAATTGAACCCAGATACTTAGTGATGGGAAGGGCATTTTAGTCATTCTGCCATGATCGAAAAGTATCAATGGCAGGAATAGGACAGAATAAAATATGTAAAAAGAAGGCGCAAGCCTATAAGAGTCTAATGATAGAAGATTTATTCGTGCTGTCCTTTAGGGATCTCAGAAGGAAGTCTGATTCCCAGCTTTTGTAAAAGACGTGAGGATTCACGTACATGGCAGTTATCATACTGGGGGTGATAACCTGAGTGTCGAGACGAAAATTTAAGCAGGGTTTCGGAAACCTAGGTTTACAAAGTTGAAATTGGTTGCATAATTTCGGTGTCTATCCTTGTCTAACATCCGCTCTAGTGTCCTCTCGGTGAAGCAGCGACGAAACATGCTCGGTGTTCAGAAGGCTATACTATAGAGAAGATAAGTGTGACCTTCGAAACATCAACCATGTCAGCGGAAATTTACCATTGTCGGTATATTTACTACTGGTTCATGACTGCATCTTTGCAGGATATTCGTCCACACTTTTTCAAGTACCTACACTTATCAGTCACATGGAAGCGAAAAAAGTTAACTAGTAGTGCTAGTAGTATACCTAACGAGCGGCCTTGGCGAGCTCCCAGGTCACGTTATCGGTCCGCCCACAAACAAAAAGCGCGCGCGCACGGGCGCGCATGAAGGAACCGAGGTCACACGAGGCGGACAGGACAGAGGCAGCCAGATGACCAATCGAGCCGCTAGGCGCATGAGGACACAATCTGATTGATCCCATCTAAAACCTTCCTTATCATA